GTAGGGAAAATTGCAAAGAAGAGAATAAAGAAAATTTGACTTTGATTCCTTTGATCTCGGTTACAATTTGATTACAAAAGAGAGGAGAAGGGATTTGGTTTTCCCCTTTGTTTAAAACTGGGTTCTTCTTGGTGGCGATGGAGTGCCTCCCTCGAATGCTCGCGTCGAGTTTGCTCTCCGTTGACGATCCGCACGTCTTGATTCACTGGAACAATGTCTTCTCCTCACGATTTGACGTTGTGGAGAACTTGCGTGGCAAGTTTGAGAACTCAGAACGAGTTTAGAAGAACTCTATAAAAGAGTTGATTTGAACCAAAGATCGGTTAATAAGCCAAGGACAGAGGCTCCCTGTTGCTGAAGTTGAAGATGATCTTCGTTGGAAGATGATGCCGATCTCCTCAAAAGCCTGTCTCCAGTAGTCGATCCAAGCCAAGAAAATCCAACCGAACCCCTAGAACCCCTGAACTGAATTGATCTTCAGTTATTTATAGAGGATTAAGGGGGTGAAACCGCCCCTTAAATCTCTCCTAAGTGGGGTGTAACAGCCCCCAAATCGTGGGAAACGGTTTTAGAACCGTTCAACTCATGTTGAATGAGTCAAACGCCCACGTTGGCGTTCAGGACCCTAACCTCACGTCTTATGATTGAGACGCGAGGTTGGGTGTAGACTGAACATCCAAAACGCGAGGGTCGCTCACGTTTCGCTTGTTGTAACGCGGGTCCGACTCCAGCGTTTTGATGTTACGCGGGGTTCGACCCTGGCGTTTTGATGTTGTGACGCTGGGTTTGACCCTGGCGTTTTGATGATGTAACGCGGGTTTTGACCCTGGCGTTTTGATGTTGTGACGCGGGGTTCGACCCTGGCGTTTTGATGTTGTAACGCGGGTTTCGACCCTGGCGTTTTGATGTTGTAACGCGGGTTTCGACCCTGGCGTTTTTATGTTGTAACGCGGGTTTCGACCCTCGCGTTTTTTGATGTTGTGACGCGGGGTTCGACCCTGGCGTTTTGATGTTGTAACGCGGGTTCGACCTCGGCGTTTTGATGTTGATACACGGGGAGGACCTCCGCGTCTTGCCTTGTAGAGATTATCACCAAGTAATCTCTTTTTGTCATAGCGTTGCAAAGATCATTGTCTTGTAATCTTCGTCTTGGCTCCTTGAGAATATGAGAGTCATCAGATTGTAACTCCAGATGTTGATTGTGAAGGCTGTTGAAGTAGAGCTTCCATCAGTTGTCGTGAAGGTCGTCAGATTGTAACCTTCAGCGATCTACGCGAAAGTCTTCAGATTACAGCCTTCTGGAAGTCGTCAGATTGTAACTTCCATCATCGGTGGTTGATGGGGGATAAGCTATCTATTGTGATTTTTAGACAGCCTACAGGGCCGTATCTCGCTCGGCCCACCGAGCCTAGCGAGCGAGCTGGGCCTAAATGTAAGCAGGGTGACCCGCTGAACCCGTCCCGTTGGCTCGCATATAATTTTCTCCCCTTCATGATTTTATCAGTCCATCCATTGTTGTAATTTATTCCTATATTTTAAAGTAGTGGAACAATTAGTTGCCGCCCGTGAAGTAGAACTTGCTCCGAACCATTTAAAATCTCTGTGTTTGCGATATTTCTCTCTGTTATTCTATACAAATATACAATTCTACTTAATATAATTATTTTTTATTTCTATAATGGTTGCATTGTTAATTAATTATGTATAATTTTTAAGTGTTAAACAATGCTTTAAAACTATTTAAAGAAGTAAAACTCATTTACAAAATCCAAAAAAAATAAAAAAATAAAACATGGTGGGTTTTTTATCTACTGGAGGTATCCCTATACCTTATTATAGATGTGACTAATCTTCATTCGCGCTTCATAGTTGCCGCTATCCCTAGGGTTTCTGTACCTGCTAGAAAATTTGAACACATGACTAGACTGCTGTGAATCATCCCCCAACAGGAGCGCATTGGGACCTTACACCACCACTGCACCAACCCTGCAAGTTACATTTTTTATTATTAGTATTACTATTGCTATTACTAGTGTGCACCTCGTGCAAAACATGACCCCTTATTTTTTTAAATACTGCATTTTAAACTTGTTTCCCTCTAAGTTTTAATACATTTGATTTAATTATAGTATGTTTAAAATTAGAAATCATATCTACTCCTCTATACTTAAAGAAGGATCCAAGTTTTAATACATTTGATTTGTTTTATTGTTTATGATACAGTAAATTACTTTAGTATAAATAATAATTTCAAGTACGGATGAGCAGATTTGATTCACTGTTTATACTATAATAAATTGCTATAGCATAAACAATAACTTCAAGTGTAGAGGGCCGGATTTGATTTATTGTTTATAACATTTACTGTAGCATGACCAGTAATTCTTTAGATTCTCCTTTAAGTATAGAAGAGTAGATTACTATTGCTATTATTATTATTACTATTACTACTGCTATTATTATTATTACTATTAGTATTACTACTTATATAAAAGAGAATATTCAGGTTAGAACTTGTGATTTTCTTTTTCACCCTTCTAATTTTTAAAAAATTCATAATTATATAAAACTAATGATCCATAAACTTTTATTAACTATGCACCTCTTTATTTTCTCAAAGGTTATTCACTAAAATATATTAATAATTTATAATAATAATAGTTAGTACTATAAAATATATTATAATTTTTATAATTTTTAACATAGATAATTATAATACTTATAATATAATAGCAAAAATAATTATTCTACGTAACTATAATTAACAATGATGGTATAAATAAAGGCATGTAATATAAAGAATTATGGCCATTATATAATAAATGTTATAAAAAATCTACATAGCATAAATATTTAGTTATTTCAATAGTATTTCTTAAACTAATTATTACATTATTATTTGATAATTATACTCCTAAATAAATTGTTAAATAACATAGTATTAAGTTAATCTAAAGCTAAATGAATGTTAATAATAGCATAACTATTAATAAAAGTATAACTTATTTTTTTCTAATAATAGTGTTACAAAATAACTTATAAAATATCTATACATACTTTATTAAATAATATAATCTTAAATAAAAAACAAATACATTCACGTGTAATTCACATGCATTATACTAGTATATAAATCAAGTAATCTTTTGCAGAAAGATATAGATTAGTTTTAAAATTGCATGACTGTGAAGATTGAGATTAAATGTTGCAAATTTATTTCCTATCACTTTATCAGGCTATCATGCTTATATATATAAACGAAAAAACCTGACTGAATTAAATATTTTGATCTTCTTGGGAAGAAAACAACAATCTCGTTAAAGTTCCATGAATTTTTTTTATTAAAACAATATCAATTTATAATACAAAATATGAGAATCTATGAATAAGAGTCGAAGTTACTTGTTGAGCTTCTGGTCACATATTGTCTCTCTATTTATTCTGAGTACATCTATCTCACGGCGATAGTCAATATTTTCTAGATCTTTGAAGGTTCTTGAACTTTTAGTTAAAAACTCAAATTTTAGACTTGAATATAGCAATTTTTTGAAACCTACTTCTAACTGCATAAAGTGTTCTTAATTTTTTTTTTATATAATTAACAATATACTACATCTCCTTTTCAAGTTTTGAACACTTACATGTCATAATTCCTGAGTAGCATATTTTTGTTCCTATTAATATAAAGCAAATGATAAAAATGAAGGTATAAAGAAGTTTTTCTAGTCTGTTAATATATCATTTTGCAAGTTTATTTTAAGCTCAAAAAGAAATAATAGGACTGAAAAATTTCATCCGAACACCAAGGAAAAACGAAGGAACTTTTTTTTGGAAAATTGTGTCAAGGCTCCGAAAGCAAAAACTTCATGTGTTGAAGCCCCTTTGACTTTTTCTCATATGTTTTAGCCCTTAATTTGGATATCTATGTTCTGGAACCCTCATTTAAGAATTATTACATGCCAACTAAGCATATAAAGAGAATAAAAAGTAAAAAAAAACCAAAATGCCCTTATTTCTTTTCTATTCTTTCATGTTAAGTCAAAAAGCAAGTTGAATTAGACTTAACATGAAAGTCTAATTTCATATTAAGTTCAATTTAATTTATGTTAAGTCTAATTTAATTTATTTTAAGTCTAACTTAAATCATGTCATGTCTAATTTTAAGTTGAATTAGACATAATTTGATTTAAATTAGACTTAAAAAGAATTAAATTAGACTCAACATGAATTAAATTAAATTTAACATGAAATTAGACTTTCATGTTAAGTCTAATTCAACTTGTTTTAAGTCTAATTTCATACTAAGTCCAATTAAATTAGACTTAAAACAAATTGAATTAGACATAACATGATTTAAATTATACTTAAAATGAATTAAATTAGACTTAACATGAATTAAATTATACTTAACATGAAATTAGACTTAAAACAAGTTGAATTAGATATAACATAATTTAAATTAGATTTAAAAGGAATTAAATTAGACTTAACATGAATTAAATTGCACTTAACATAAAATTAGACTTAAAACAAGTTGAATTAGGCATAACATGATTTAAATTGGACTTAAAAGGATTTAAATTAGACTTAACATGAATTAAATTGAACTTAACATGAAATTAGACTTAAAACAAGTTGAATTAGACTTAACATGAAAGTCTAATTTCATGTTAAGTTTAATTTAATTCATGTTAAGTTTAATTTAATTCCTTTTAAGTCTAATTTAAATCATGTTATGTCTAATACAATTTGTTTTAAGTCTAATTTAATTGGACTTAGCATGAGATTAGACTTAAAAAAATTGAATTAGACTTAACATGATTTAAATTAGACTTAAAAGGAATTTAACATGATAATTAGACTTAAAAAAATTGAATTAGACTTAACATGATTTAAATTAGACTTAAAAGGAATTTAACATGATTGAAATTAGAACTTAACATGATTTAAATTAGACTTAAAAGGAATTTAACATGATTGAAATTAGACTTAAAATAAGTTAAAATAAACTTAACATGATTCATGTTAAGTCTAATTCAACTTATTTTTGGACTTAAAATAAGTTGAATTAGACATAACATGATATAAATTAAACTTAAAAAAAATTAAATTAGACTTAGCATGAACCGAATTAGACTTAACATGAACCGAATTGGGCTTAACATGAATCAAATTGGACTTAATATGAAATTAAACTTAAAACAAGTTGAATTAGACTTAACGTGATTCATGCTAATTCTAATTCAGCTTGTTTTTAGACTTGAAACAAGTTGAATTAGATATAACATTATTTAAATTAGACTTAAAAGAAATTAAAATTAGACTTAACATGAACTAAATTGGATTTAACATGAAATTCAACTTAAAACAAGTTAAATTAGACTTGACATGATTTAAATTGGACTTAATATAAACAGAATTTGATTTAACATGAACCGAATTGGACTTAACATGATTTAAATTGGACTTAACATGAATCGAATTGGACTTAACATGATTTAAATTGGACCTAACATGAACCAAATTGGACTTAACATGATTTAAATTGGACCTAACATGAATCGAATTGGACTTAACATGATTTAAATTGGACTTAACATGAACTGGATTGGACTCAACATGAATCGAATTGGACTTAACATATAATCCATGATAAGTATATTTCATTTTATTTTAAGTCTAATTTCATGTTAAGTCCAATTTAAATTAGACTTAAAATGATTTAAATTAGACTTAACAAGATTTAGATTAGACTTAAAACAGTTTAAATTAGACTTAAAATGATTTAAACTGGACTTAATACGAACCAAACTGGACTTAACACGAACCAAATTGGATTTAACACAAATCAAACTGGACTTAACATGAATCAAACCGGACTTAACATGAACTAAATTGGACTTAACACAAAACTAGATTAAAATTAGACTTAAAATATATTAAATTAGATTTAACATGAATTAAATTAGCCTTAACATGAAGTAAAAATAAATTTAACATAAAATTAGACTTAAAACATGTTAAATTAGACTTAACATGATTCATGTTAAGTCTAAATCAACTTATTTTTAGACCTAAAACAAGTTGAATTAGACTTAACATGATTTAAATTAAACTTAAAAGGAATTAAAATAGATTAACATGAATCAAACTAGACTTAACATGATAGATCTGAAGAGAACAAAGAGGGAGGAGGAAATGATGATATTTTGGACTTTTATGTTTGTTTCTCTCTCTTTTTAGTTGGCATGATAATTATATGAAAAAAGGCTACAACACATGATGTGACATTTCTTAGGGCTGAACCATATGAGAAAAATATAGGGGCTGCAGCACATAAATATTTTACTTTTGGGACCTTGACACAATTTCCCCTGTTTTTTTTTTTTTTGATATTTTATTAACAATACATCAAATTCTAAGTTGTCTCGTCTTCTCTTAAATTTTTTTTGATTAGTAAATCTACAATCTACAATCAAACTCTACAACTATTGTGCAAAAATCTATTTATACTACATACTAAAGTAACTTAAGAGGGTCTAGTTAAGTTTGTAAGTTGTCTATAAGTAGTAACCAATATATCAGGTTTAACTCTCTTGAGGAGTACATATAGGAAGTTAATTCACTAAAATACCTGCATCGATGCTTCGGGTGTGCCCTTGAGCTATGCTGGGGATTTGATACCCATGGTTACGAGGATCTAGAGAAAATCCCCATGTCAAACCCAAAAAGAAAAAAGGAAAAAAAGACAAATAGGTAAAAAAAAAATAGAAAACATATACTAAAGTGAGGTGTGGAATGACATGTGTCAAAATTATAGAGAATTCACCATTTATCTTCCATAAAATTAAACTTTCCTCTCTCAATCTTAACGTTCCCTCTTAAATTCGGAGAATAAAAATAGAAGCTTTTAAGATTTTTCCAACATTCTATCTAATCACGTTTCCCCAAACATTTATTCCCATTGATAACCTTTCTCTAATTATACTAACTAATTGATTTGATATTTTTTGCGGCCACAATCAAGTGTTTGATTCGAGAGTTCTTCGTGATAATGTTGTGGCAGGTAAAAAAAATACTATACAGCATTTTAAAGTTTTCTGATTTTTTAGCTGTTTAAAAAATAATAATTATATAACGTGAAAATGCACGAGTTATTTGCAATTTATATGTATAAGGCATTATCATAAGTGGCTGTTTAATTTGACAGAAATCGGAAAAAAGTATTTGTACATAAAACTTTGAAAATTGTCTATAGTGAAAAAAATTTACAAACCGATGATAAAAAAAATATCTGTGCATCGCAGGGGTTTCAAATTAATATGTGTACTATTCTAGAGAACCTAATGATGTATGGGGGAAAAAAGTATTATTGCAAAGAACATTTTGATGTCAGCTCTTACCTGCCACAGCCAAATCAAATTAAGTGCAACTAATGTTAATGTCTTTGATTAATCCCCTAATGTATGATTAGTGTAACGTCAATCCTTTGCAATGATCAATATAAAAACTAGTAAATATTAGATATTGTCAATATTGAGGCCTGGTGGTGGGTGAATATAATAAATTTCACATATTAATACGATTAATTTGCAAATAGCGAAACTAGTGGCAAATGGTCCTCCACGGGCCCACGTTTTAAAACGACAGAATTGTGATGGAGAAAACTAAAAAGATACGTGCGCTCTTCAGCAGTCATTCTTGTTGAAAAAGAAACTTTACCAAATCTGGATCCATTTTAAAGAGACCTAACCAGGACCGAAGCCACGCCCTTATCTGTCCTGTGCAATTAAGGAAATACCGAGTTTGTTTTTTGTTTTTAATTATTTTTTTATTTTATTTCCATTTTTTTCTTTATTTTGCTAATGAAATATTGATGTTTGACGTGGGAAGTGAGTGTCTTAATTTTTACATTATCTTTCACTTATATTATAGAAAGTCTCATTAAATGAGAAAATACAAGCATTTATGATCTACAGACTCGCATCTTGAACTTGAATCATCATGTGATGGTGTATTTCTAGTCGAAAATTTGACAAATAAGGAATACTTTGCTCGTATACTTTTGAATATAGAGCGCTCTCTGTTCTTGAACTCTACTTTAGATGTGTCAAATTTCCTGCTACAGTTTTCGCATTACTGAACAAAACTTTTGAGTATATTTCTATACATGTAGCAAAAAAAGACGACGAATATCACACAACATACAAAAGTTAAACATGACAATAATTGAAGGAGAAGAAATTTATGAAACAAAGTTACCAACTAAGTGCATCACACATAAGGTTACATGTGAAAAATCAAATCAAATCACAAAAGAAAGACAAAATCGAAACCCTTAGCGCAAGTGTGAAGAGCACAATCGTTCCGTGTAAACTGTGGCAAATCCAACCTAACTGCGTGAACTTCTCTAATAAAGTATATATATAAAAAAAGGCAACCGTGATTTGTTCTCGTTTGTTTCAACCTGTGAACAAAACAGTTGCCATCAGTATCCACAACTTGCTGGCAAATATTTCTATATAGAAGTTTTAGTTAACTCACAGTTTGGGGCCTCGTCAATTGTCAGAGACAACGAGATGCTGATTGCGACATGAACCAACCTCCGATTGCCGTGTAATGATAGTTTTGTAGAAGTAAGCATCTCTATTGGGCGATCCCAAACATTTATTTGTCTAATATCTCTAACCAACTTGCTTCTCTCCAAACTTTTTTGATTCCTGTACATAACATTCTTTCCTCTTTTTGCAAGTTTAGTAACAAAAGTACAAGATCAAGTGTACACCTGAGCCAAAAGAACTGATGTCTGATACCCCTGCTGAATGCTCGGATAAATGAAGGACCGTTGTATTCACAATTCAAGTATTGAAATAGAACTGAGGATGAATAGCTATCGGTACTGAAAATTTTGTCCGATTTAGGAAACTAAATAGGTAGTGGCGGTTATGCCGGCCTCCTTCACAAGTTTATCTGTCAAATCCAACAGCCGCGCAATCTCTTTCTCAGCCACCTCAACACCCTCAAGCTCTGTATCCAAAACCAAACCACTATTGTTGAAATCCAAACTTTTGCTCAAATTAGACCCTTCTACAAGTTGTCTTGTCAATTCATGAATTCTCTGCAGAGCACTGGTTGCAGCTTCAGCTTCCAATAGAGCAGCCTCTCTCTGAAGCATTTCAGTTGCTAAGTCTCTAACAGTAGTATCCCCAATCCTCTTTTGGACAAGGCTATAGAGATTTTTAAGGCCATCAACATCTTCATGTGATTCTTCCTTCATCTTCTCCAATTCTTTTTCCCTCGTTTCCCACTTTTTACCCAAAGCATTGAGTTCCTCTTCTTTGGCTGACAGAGTTCTTTGCACGGCGAGCAAGTCTGTTTCCTTCTCTCTTAGTAATTCTTTCACCTTATTCAGTTCAGCCTCCAGCTGTTTCTGTTTCATCTCTGGTAACATTTCACCTCTGCAAATGTCTTCATTCTTATCTGACACTAAAAGCTTGTTTGACAGTTGGGCTATTTGCTCAATTAAAGAGATTGCTTCAGAGAACTTGATCTTTGTGTCATCCAACTCATGTTGCATCGTAAATATATGCTCCTCCTTGTCCCTTAGTCTATTGGTCGCTTCACTGAGTTGCTCTTCTTTGTTGTTCATTACTTTTTGTAGATCTGCAATTTCATTGTGAACTTCGGTCAATGCCTTCTGGGCCTTTAGAAGTTCAACATCTTTTTCTTGTAAGATGAGCTGGATAGAAGCTTCCTCAGATTTCATTTCTTCGATTGTAAGCCTGGCTTCCGTCAATTCAGATTCCTTCACTTGGAGGAGATTAAGGGCACCATTGTAGTCTAGCTCTTTCTCTTGGAGTTCCCTTCGAAGAGTGATTATTTCTTGTGTTTGTTGTTCCAAAGCGGTTCTCTCTCTATGTACCTCCTCTTTCAAATGTATGATCAATTCTCCAGCATCAGCCAGCTGTGATTTGAATTCATCGAACTCTGCTTCTGCAGCTCTCAGCTTTACTCTCTCGCTCTCGACTTCCAGTTCAGCATCCTTCAAATTATTCATGTATGACAACAGTAGATGTTTCTGGTCGTGGAGTTCTGCCACTTCTTTTTCAAGCAAGAGGGCCCGGTCCTCCATTTTCTTCTGGGAAGAAGAAAACGCTTTCTGGGATAAGATCAGTTCAGATTGTAAGTCAGATAAAAGTGCTCTCACTCTTTGAAAGTCCTCACTAGTCTCCTTCGCTGCATTCATTTGCTTAGATGCTTGCGCTGCTAATTCCTTCAACTCCTCTTGTGCTGAGAGCCACTCCACTGTCTGCTTTTTCAAGTCTTCCTCCGTAATCTTTAGCCTCTCCCTTTCCATTTCTATCAGTTGAAGAGACTCACTCAGATGATGTTCTTTCTCTCGGACCTCCTCTTGAAGTTCCTTTAGTTTTTCTTCTTGCTTTGTGATGATCTCTGAGGCTTCATCTAAGAGCTGTTTCTTTGATTCGACCTCTGACTTCATGAGCTTCGCCTCCTCATCTTTCTTCCTAAGCTCCTCTCTGAGTTTGCCCATTTCATCTTCTTTTAGAGAAAGGGAAGATTGCAATGAAACAATATTCTCACTTTGATCTTTGACCAAAAGCTTCATATCTCTAATATTCCTGGATTGAGAAGCTAGGCTGCTATTAGCCTTCTCTAGATTTTCCTCCATTTGGTTCTGCTTGGAAAGCACAGCAGCTATTTCTGGCTCTCGTCGATCCAGGTCCTGCTTTATTTGATGTAGTTCAGCTTGCTCAGCCAAAATCCTCCTCTCAGCATCTTGAAGGTCTTCTTCCTTCTTCCTCAAAGCGGACAGTGCCGCTTGAAGGTCTGCTTCCAAGAGTCCAAGATTCATGCTTATCTCATCATCCTTCGAAATACTAGAATTCTTACTCAGCATCTCTTCCAGTTGTCGGGTTTTGGTAAACACTCTCTCTATAAGAAACCTAGAAGATACAGATGTCCCATTGCTACCATGAACATCTGATGTCAGTTCATTTAAAGCAGATCCAGCTGTGCCATTGCTACCACTGACAACATCTGATGTCAGTTCATTTAAAGCCGATCTGATCTTAGAAAAAGGATGGTTCTTGATATTCCAAGTTCCAAGAGTTACCGGTGCTCTTGGATTGCGGTTGAAGGGGAAATGACTATGCTGCAATTGATTTGAAGAAATAACAGATTCACCATGTGACAATATCATAGACCATATGCAGCAGCGTTTTAGGAGATTTAAGGTCCATCAGATAAAAAATAAATAAATAAAGTAGTTACTGGAGTATATTTGTAATATTAAATAAAGCAACTCTTTTGGCAATAAAGCAAAAGTGTAACTGCAGTTCTGGATCTAAATAGTGATAAAAACTGGAAGCAAACCTGAAGGAGGTCAAATGGAAGCTTAAGTCCATTTTAAAGGTGCAAGATCCAACATAATGTGTTATAAAAAATGTACACCTTATTACGACATTGGTAACATTGTTTTCCATCTTCTCAAGGAAATCAAAGATTGACTCATATATTACTCCACAGAGAGGACTAGAACAAAATTCGAAGTTAACTATGGGAAATACACCATTTGACTCTTTGGAGCATTATCTTCAGAGATACATATGAATCCTACAGCAAGCATTAACATAGGCTTCATCACTCGGGGAATTTCCATCATCTCTTCTTTTTTTGCATGAGAACTCAAGAAGCTAAAATGAGAAATTTGGAGAAGAGTCGATAAAGATGATTGTGGGCTTTTTTGCATGAGAACTCAAGAAGCTAAAATGAGAAATTTGGAGAAGAGTCGATAAAGATGATTGTGGGAGGACTTGCCTTGCATTGAGAGAAACTAAAATGAGAAATTTGGAGAAGAGTCGATAAAGATGATTGTGGGAGGACTTGCCTTGCATTGAGAGAAACTTTCTAACAGATCCAAGGGAGAGATGGGAGTTGTCACCTTATTGTTTAAAAAGAGGAACAGAAACATATGACAACATGTGAATTAGCCCTAAATATTTTTCTCAGAACAAAGCCGCCTCTCCCTTATATGACTGTTATATGACCGCAGCAGAAAAGATTTTAGACAGCGGATTTAAACCAACTTGACAACCAGATCATAGAGACTTGGTCACTACTTTTGAATCAATAAATATTTCCATTCTATCTACCACCAACATAAATTTAACGGTAAAGTCTTGGATGGTGTTGGAGACCATTAATTAAACATTATGCGAACTGAAAATCAGGTATAGGAAGTAACAATTGCTACTTGTAAAAGCCATGTTGATAAAGATGAATTATACACCCAAAAAAATAAGGACAGCTGAAAATGCATAATGACTAAAATTCTAGTCAGCAATGGGCCAAAGCCTTACTGATTGCCACAACTTGATGTAGGATAACCATCAAGAACAAAGAAAACTTCTTACAGGACAAAGCCAGGTAAGAAAAGAAAGCATCTGATTCTCCTTTTGAGTTTGTTATTGATATAAGATAACTTTAAAAAGATTATTTAGAAAGATATGTTTAAAAAGGTAACTTTAAACAAAAACACTTTCATTAGTTTAAAGAATTTGATTATTTTAATAATAATTTATTTATATTTGGAGAATACTCCTGTGCAATGATGATTTTAAATTCATATTTTGAAAGTCTGATTAAAAAATTCGAACTGGCAATCCATACATTGGGGGGGGGGCTGTGTTTAGGGATCGGTTCTTACAAGCATAGTATCTAGATTAAATATGTAAGGGAAATAAAAACATAACTTCATATCTACAGTAACGTAAAATTTAAGGAATCAAATGTACGGACAAATATTTTATAAGAAAATGAATTGAATTTGTGAATTCATTCAACTCCTTTATAGATAAAATATTTGAATTTTCGTAAATAATATTCAAATCAAATCTGAACAAATAGTTAGATTAAAAATTAGTGAACTACTTGATAATTATTTGATCAACCTTAAACCTACTCAAATACCCTTCTCTCTAAACGCTTGAAGGAAAAGTCAGTATATTTTTATATTATTTGTGTGTGAGACAGTGTTTAGACTTTCGGTATGTTGTAATCAACAATAACTATGAAAAAGCCAATCCTATTAATACTTCATCATAAAAAATTGCACCATGCTGTGCAGAAACAGCGTTTCCCTAACTAACAATGAAAAACACCATCGTCAGTTCGAATGAGCAAAAGTCGGTACTTATCAGAACATGCAATCTTTTTTACATTGATCACAATTTATTCTAATGTTTTAACATTGTATGCTTTAATTCATAAATTAATTATGCCTTGTATGACATCCATAGTATTGAAATTAGCTAGCTTTTGTTCTGTTTTTGAATAAATCACATTCCAATTTTCAAATTAGATTTAGGTATAGAGAATAAATAACAAAAGAGAAATTGTATATAGCAGGTTCTCTTTATGAACAACAAGCACGTTCTCACAGGATTTTCGCATAAATACCTAGTCTGAAGTTCAGGCTTTTAGTTAGAAACTTTTTCAAGTCTCACATAATTCCAGTTGCTCTTTGTGTAAAATGCTTCACGCTCTGGTACTTAACTCCTTATAGATTTGATTGTGTGCCTATTCTGAACAAAAATGCTTGCTTTGCCCCTGGTTTATGATTCTTGATATACCTGATTCTTTATGACTCGTCATCGTAGTACCAAATATATATCGTAGTACTCATGGAGTGCGCTTCTAACACTCGCTTGAAATATATAGAAATGATACGGACACACCCTCTACCACACCTCCAACCACACCATCTCTCTCGCTACAGTGCATCGGGCCCACATGAGATTTTATTTTAATAAAATCTCATGTGAACCCGGTGTACTGTAGCGAGAGAGATGGTATGGTTGGAGGTGTGGTAGAGGGTGTGCTCCTAGTGCCTCTCTGAAATATAATAGCTCAATTGAAATTTGACTCTGGCACCAGTATCTGACAAGGACGGTCTATATCTAGCTAACTCTTGTCACTGTTTATTGGCATGCCGTGTCATGACAAATCAATTAACACCTACACTCTGACTATTAGTTCCCAAAATCTCTCTAAATATCAAGGGACAAAAAATTACACTAATTCAACCACAATGTGAACTCGAATTGTCTCCTTTATTGATTTCATCTGACTACATTTACAGCTAAACTATATTCCAAAACACACGGACACCCAACATATTCTCAATCATCTTCGTTCCTCAAGATTCAAAAACCTCTGCTACTCTAGCTACACGCTCCAAATTTGGTTGTATTTAACTCGAAGATTATTAATTCCATTTTCTCTTTTTATCAAAGTTTATAACCTTTATTTTTAAGGTTATTGCTTTTGCTTATTCTAGCAGCATGATAAATAAGCAAGATGATAAATAAAACAAAACAAATTTAGATATAGCAGAAACAAACTAAAGTAAAAGTAGAACTGAGAATTATTTTACTCTTATCTAGGTAACAAAGATAGTTTAAAAAAAGATAGATTGTTTAGTTTTTTAATAACAAAGAATGGGTCAGTCAAGTACTTTTTCGCCATCATTACTTCAGCAGCTAGCATATGTTGTGTTCTTATTTTTTATGTCATATGTAGTCTTGTGTTTTCCTTGTAGATTTATAGTACCAGAGCCTGACAGTTATTTAGGGGAACTCCTATATTCTTTGAAATAGGTGAAAAGGCTTTCCTGGTTTTTGAATATTCCTAGTGATAACTTTAACTACTTCTTTCCAAGCCAATTCCAAAAATGTCATACTCAATTACCTTAAAGCAAGTACTAAATTAACCCATCCTGTAACCATTTAGACGGTGTAGTGTCATCTCTTCCATAAAAGAAAGCCAAAACAGAGATAATACTGCTGGCACTATTCTTAAGATTACAATAGTCTGTCGAAAATGTAGAAGAATGCACAACACAATTATTTTGAGACGGAAAAACAATTTGCACATTTTGATAGCAGAGTATTCTTATAGAATTTCCAAGCTTAGATGTGAGGAAGATAACTTACATTTATGCATGTTGCTAAGAACAATTGAAAATTCTCTTGATATGCAATAACATGTAAAAGATAACTGTATAATACAAAGGTCTGTTCAAAATCTTGCATAAGTCTCACTTTCCAAAAATTGCCTACAACCAAGGCTTTGGGTTCAGTTTTATTTATCATTCTTCAACCTGAGACCTTTCTAAAGGTCTGAGTTATCTTCACTAACAGCGATTCACATATAGGTCGTGAACAATCATCCTAGAAGAGAATTTTTACCCTTACATAAAGCAGAAGCAAACATCATGATCCTTAACAGGGCAACTATTTCTTGACCCTTACCATTAATTCCATTTTCTTCATTCACATGTACTTTTATGGAATTGATAAATTTTCCTTAGGAAAAATACTGAACAATCTATGACTTCAGGTACCTAATTAATTAATTAGGATTAAATTACAGATATATGCAAAATAATGATAATGTTTTTGAAGCAGAAGGATCTGAAAAGAAAAAGGTGATCTAGGAAAAAGCTTGTATGTTTGCACTTCTAATTCAAAAAAGCAAATATACACATTATAGTTCATCAATACATATCATATGCTAAAGACATCGGTGCCAAATGCTAATGACCATAAATCACACAAGCACAACCTAGAAGAGAGCAGCAAGGCAACCAATCCTCGACTGAATTCTACTAATAAATTCTAAAAAATAGCAATTTCAGACTCCAAAATACAAGCTTTCTAAACTTGGAGAAAGTTTATAACCATTATTTTTAAGGTTATTGCTTTTGCTTATTCCAGCAGCATGATAAATAAGCAAGATGATAAATAAAACAAAACAAATTTAGATATAGAAGAAAAAAACTAAAGTAAAAGTAGAGCTGAGAATTATTTTACTCTTATCTAAGTAACAAAGATAGTTTAAAAAAAGATAGATTGCTTAGTTTTTTAATAACAAAGAATGGGTCAGTCAAGTAATTTTTCGCCATCATTCCTTCAGCAGCTAGTATATGTTGTGTTCTTATTTCTTATGTCATAGTAGTCTTGTGTTTTCCTTGTAGAATTATAGTACCAGAGCCTGACAGTCATTTAGGAGAACTCCTATATTTTTTTTGAAATAGGTGAAAAGGCTTTCCTGTTTTTTGAATATTCCTAGTGATAACTTTAACTACTTCTTTCCAAGCCAATTCCAAAAATGTCATACTCAATTACCTTAAAGCAAGTACTAAATTAACCCATCCTGTAACCATTTAGACGGTGTAGTGTCATCTCTTCCATAAAAGAAAGCCAAAACAGAGATAATACTGCTAGCACTATTCTTAAGATTACACCAGTCTGATTAAAATGTAGAAGAATGCACAACACAATTAGTTTGAGACGGAAAGACAATTTGCACATTTTGATAGCAGAGTATTCTTATAGAATTTCCAAGCTTAGATGTGAGGAAGATAACTTACATTTATGCATGTTGCTAAGAACAATTGAAAATTCTCTTGATATGCAATAACATGTAAAAGATAACTGTATAATACAAAGGCATGTTCAAAATCTTGCATAAGTCTCACTTTCCAAAAATTGCCTACAACCAAGGCTTTGGGTTCAGTTTTATTTATCATTCTTCAACCTGAGACCTTTCTAAAGGTCTGAGTTATCTTCACTAACAGCGATTCACATATAGGTCGTGAACAATCATCCTAGAAGAGAATTTTTACCCTTACATAAAGCAGAAGCAAACATCCTGATCCTTAACAGGGC